CCCGAGCCGCTACGCTGTAGCTCTGGCGCGCCGAGCAAGGCTACGCGACCCCTCATCCTCCTGACCGTCGTCGTTGTGATACTCGCCGCGATCGCTCAGTACGTGCTCAAGTCGGGCGTCGACCCGTCCGAGTTCTTCCCCAAGGGTACAATGGTCACGCCCGGCGAAGGCGGCGCGCGCGCCGTCGAAGCTGTGCTCCCCGAGGTCCTTACGCCGGGCGAGTTCCTCGCTCGCCTTGTGCCCGAGGCGACAACACCCCAGGAGGGCGAGGTGTACGTTGTCCGCGAGGACGCCATCCCTCACGCGGATCTCGAGCAGGCGCAGGGCAAGGAGAATGTCGCTGTGCCACCGCAGATCAAGGCGGAACTGCACGAAGACACGCTGAAGGGGAAGCCGGCGCAGTCGTGGGATGAGCTGAGCGCCGAACAGAAGGCGCTCTGGAAGGCTAGGCTCGAGGACGCGGGTCACTGGGCGGAGCATCTCGGGACGGGCGTCTTCAAGGGCCTCGTCTTTTCGCAAATTGCGGGTGCCGTCGGCCAGGCTGTCGGCGGATAGACGGGGCCGTAGTGACTGGTAGTTGGGGACGGGTGGTGTCATGATGCAACGGCTGTGAAGGATGAGGCGTCATATCTGTAGATTAAGACGATGTAATGGCAGGACTATCTACGCATGTCTTGAGAATTTTACACTTTTTTTTTTCTAAATTGAATTCTTCAGGTGCACACCCACTTGGCATGTTCTTCCACTTTTTCATTTGCCTTTCATCTTGACTTTTTGTATCCGATCATGGCCCCTCGGTCGCCTCGAGACTGACATGCACGCTCTTGGCCACGGTATACGCCTCGATGCCGGCCTCGCCCAGCTCCCTGCCGACGCCGCTCTGCTTGACGCCGCCAAAGGGCACGCGGTAGTCGGTGTCGTTGCTGCTGTTGATCCAGACCATGCCGGCCTCGACGGCGCGCGCGACGCGGTGGGCGCGCGCCAGGTCGCGCGTGAAGACGGCGGCGCCGAGCCCGTAGGCCGAGTCGTTGGCCAGCGCGACGGCCTCGGCCTCGTCGCGAAGCGCGTGACGGCGGCGCAGGCCCGAAGATCTCGTCCTGGAACACGCGCATGCGCGGCGTCCACGTCCGTCAGCACCGTCGGCGGGACGAAGAAGCCAAAAAAAGCGGCCCCCCGTCGGGG